TGAATTATTAAGTAACTATATACTGTAAAACATTCTCATCAAGAGACTTCTTAAAAAGTATTTGCCGAGGCTGGGCGCCTGTGGCTCAAGCGGCTAAGGCGCCAGCCACATACACCTAAGGTGGCGGGTTCGAATCCCCAGCCCGGGCCCGCCAAACAACAATGATGGCTGCAACCAAAAAATAGCCAGGCGTTGTGGCGGGTGCCTGTAGTCCCAGCTACTTGGGAGGCTGAGGCAGGAGACTCGCTTGAGCCCAGGAGTTGGAGGTTGCTGGTTGCTGTGAGCATGATGCCATGGCACTCTACCCAAGGGGATAGCTTGAGGCTCTGTCTCAAAAAAAAAAAAAAAAAAGTATTTGCCGTAAATGCCAATGCTATTCTACAGGTAACCCTCAATTATCTCAAATGTATCAATATCTTTACCTTAGACTGGGATAAAACCACATCTCATTTCTAGACTTTACTTGGAGAACCAGTCCTTCATAATCTGGACTCTGAAAAAATTCTCCAACTCTATACTTCAGTCAACACAGCCACACCCCCCTTACAATTCCTCAAAGGATCTCCCCTTTCACCTACATTTATAAATCTCTTGCCCACATTTTAAATTCACACAGATCACAAAATCATGAAGCACCAGAGGTGGAAGAATTTTTAAGAGATAATCTAAATTTTTTTGTTTGTTTGAGACTGAATCTTACTTAGTTCTGCTGCCCAGGATGGAGTCCTGTGTTGATGGGAGTCCTGTGTTGACAGCCCAGCTCACAGCAATCTCAAACTCCTGGATTCGGGCAATCCTCTTGATTTGGCCCCACAAGTAGTTGGGACTATAGGTGCCTATCACAATGCCGAGCTAATTTTTTCTATTTTTAGTAGAGACAGGGTCTTGCTTTTGCTCAGGCTGGGGACAATCTAGTCTTAGTGTTTTCCAAAGCATCTGCCTTTGCGGGTACAACACAAGATGATTTCAGATTTATCATTGAAAGATTGATTTTCAGATATAGCATTGTACTCTTACTGGTTATATATTTATTTAGTTGCATTCTTTTTTCTTTTTTTGTCATCCTTGTTAGAATGCCCTGGCATCACAGCTCACAGCAACCTCATACTCTTGGGCTCCAGTGATTCTCTTGTCTCAGCCTCCCAAGTAAGTGGAACTACAAGCACCTACCACAATGCCCGGCTATTTTTAGAGACAGGGTCTTGCTCTTGCTCAGGCTGGTCCTGAGCTCAAGCAATCTGCCCATCTTGGCCTCCTAAAGTGCTAGAATTCTATGCAGGAGCCACTGAACCTGGCCTCATTTAGTTGCATTCTAATATGCATTAGAAAAGTACAACTAAAAAAAAAAAAAAAAAAATTTAGTTTCAAGGACCTGTGGCTCAAGTGGCTAAGGCACCAGCCACATATACCTAAGGTGGCAGGTTCGAATCTAGCCTGGGCCCCCCAAACAACAATGATGGCTGCAACCGAAAAAATAGCCGGGCGTTGTG